AAAATGTTAATAAGAATTAATGATCAGTTTTTATCTTAAATGGTTAGTGCCGTTTTTTCTTATTTTTTTTTCTTTTTTGTTTGATTTTTTTTTTTGTCCCAAATGAATAACCTTGCGTTTCGTTTTTTCAACTGTTGTTTATTTAACACGCTTTTTTTTTTTGTTATATATAAGTATATATATATATATAACAGCTAGTCACTCATTATATACCCATTACATACCCCGTTTTCAGTCTTATGTTAACTCCCGGCTTTAAGACGTGTTGAGAGGTTGCCGAAATATCGTTCAAGAAATTTATAGACATCTTAAAAAAATTAAAAAACAAATTCGAAATTTTGAAAAATGCTTTAAAAAAAAATTTCCCGTTCTGATGCTCATCGAAACATTAATTTTACATCAAAATATAATTTTCCAGCATAACTGCTTAAACAAAAACAAAGAAAAAAATGAATAATAGCACATAGGTTAATGTTATAAGCTAGGAAAAAGAAAACAATAGATAGCTTGGAAGTGAAAAATGTAAGCATATTGCGCATGAGAAACGGTACGTTTTGAGTTCAATAAAATTGACAAAAATAATATTCTCGAAGTAGAACATATCTTTTATGTTCTTTTCACACGTGCGAGAACGCACACACACACACACACACATATATATATATATATAGTATATAATGAATTTTTTAACAGAATAAGCAAGCAAAAATAAAAATTGTATTAAATCCTATACAACATAATACACATACATACAGACATATATATTGTTTGTTGTTTCTTATCCCACTTGGCTGGCCAAGCCCACGAGCCCATATACTCATGATTGAAGGGGGGAAGGAAGCAGCTTCTGTTGTGATGGAGCACCCGTAGGTAAACCTGACTTTTTCCTGTGACGCTCTTACAGAGATAGGGAGACCGGGACCTACGGCAAAGTGGATTCTGAACCACTACAAACATCCGTGGCACCGCTGGGATTCGAACCCGAAACCTGTGGCACCGGAGCGCCAGACACTCCGGCCATTCAGGTCCCAAATTTGCCAACGGCACGCGGTGTTCCCAGGTGGTCACCTCCCAAAGTACTGACCGCGCCCAATGATGCTTGACTTCGGTGATCTAACGTGAACCGGTATATTCAGCATGGTACGGCCCGTTACTTATATATATATATATATATATATATATATATATATATATATATATATATATATATATATATATATATATATATATATATATATATATATATATATATATATATATATATATATTCTGACGCTCGGTGCTACAGGTTCTTGTTCCAGTTCCGGCTAAGCCATGGATGTTTGTAGTTGGTTGGAGGAATCCATTTTAAACCTTAGGGCCCGGTCTAATATGCCTGTAGAACGTTGGGCATAAAAATTTCACAGAAACAGAAAGAATAGAGAATGTCCTGTCTCAAAATCTGTATATATATATATATATATATATCTTCTGGACATGATAACTCCATAGAGAGGAATGTCTCCAGATGAATTGTAGGAGGAACCTGTGAATCTTTATCTACCGTCACTGAGGTTGTCTTTTAAAAATTATGGATGCATCGTAACAGATTCAGCGTTATACAGATAGGATTATACTAAATCTGTTACTCATCTGCCGTTCTAACAGAATTTCAAAAATATCAACAATTAAGTAACATGTTAACTAGATGTCAAATTTTATGAGTTCTCATATAAGTTTTCCTGGTTTATAATATTTTTCATTTTGTTATTTTATGAAAATTGAAGTACTTCTTTTCTTTCAACATTGAATATTTTTTACAGAAGTATCAAAATAAAAAAAGTTACGCGAAAATCGTAATGTTATGCCATTCAAATTCGTTGAGGTCTGTCTTGAAAAATGGCTTTGACCCTTCTTTTTTATAATTTGGTCAATATCATTTAACCTCAGATCTCAAACCAATTTACGATATCGATAAACTATTTTTTAGCCTATTTGCAATTTAACGCATTTGGAATGCCTAAAACGGTTGTGATAATCTGCCACTAGGCAGACGGCCTTGGCCCACCATGGGGCTGTTGCGCCAATGAAGAAGAAGAAGAAGAAAACGACCGTGATGCAGAATAAATTATTACCTTAAATGTTTATTAATTAATCTTATATATATTATTTTCTTTTGAGGATTTATTTAAATATCTTCGTTGTAAGTTTTAGTTAAACATATTCGTGGATGTCAATGAAATTACATTTAAAAAGTTACATTAATTTACATTAATCATGTTTAATTATGCGTAAATCGCATAGATACGTTAATTTTATTTAATTTTTATGTTTTATAGTTGTATCCTTTTCAATTAATGAATCACTTTAAAAAAAAAAAATAAACATATTTTGTGCTAATTTTGTTATTTGTATCACATACAACTGGGATTTTATCCTCGCATTGTATTTTCCTTTATTAATTTTTGCCATTTTGACTAACAAATATTATTACTAAGAAGTCAAATTAAAAAAGTACCTGTTAAATTTGTTGTTGTTACCTATGTTCGTGTGATTAGGACATGCTTTCTCTATCCCTCCACTAAAGAGTACACAAACCACTAGTACACAAACCACTATTCTGTTGTAATTAAGAGTCCAATCCCGAACAAACACATAGATGGGCCTTATTCACTTTCTCTGTTTTACATAAAACTCATATATCAGAGTTCACAATGCCTATTTTGGCCAGATGTTTGGCCAAGCAGTCGTGTCCAGTTCTTAATCTAAAATTGGCAACAGCCTCTTTGCGAGTTTTTCCACTTATTTTTTTCCAGTCATCCCCAATTGTTTCCCAGACTTTTTCTTTGATGTTAGATAATAATTCATTAATCTACGATGACAGTGTTCAATTTCAATCCAAGTACAATGTAATAAATCAACTCTATTTTTTATTGAATAGATAAAAATAGTTTATTTTATTTTAATGCTTTAATTTTTGAAATGAAAGGTACTCAACAAAATCTATTATTTAGGCGATTGGTACTATTGGAAAGAAAATGTTAATGGATTTTCAAAAAAGAATATTTTTTTAAATCATGCACAATTTGTACAGAAATATACCTTCTTACTTTCACAATTTACACAAGCTTTTACCACCTTATTCATTTCAAACAGAGTAATTATAAGCACTCTATGTGTTATAAATAATGATTAAAGTAAATGAATAGGCTAAACAAAAAAAATGAGAAGAGACAAAACGTTCTCGTATTATCCGCAGCGCGTATAATTTGCAAGCTTTTTGCATCTTTTCTTTGACATATTATGTACCTATGTTTTAAACCTATGTTTTACCTATGTACCTATGTTTTAACATAAAACTAATCAAGTAATATACAAAAAAAAATTAAGTCAATTCCTACTTTTTTTCAATATATTGCAGAAAGTCCTTTATAAATAACTTTCATTCATTTTTTTAAGTTTATCTGGCGCCATCTAAGGGTAGATATATGCAACTTAAATCTAAAAAAAAAAAAATTAATTAATTAAATTTAATTATTGAATTAATATTTGAAAAAACTGTATTAACATCAAGTGTCATCCACTACAAGTTCAAAAGAAATGTATTTGAACTTGAGTGGATGAATAAAAAGTATTTTATTAACGATTGAAAATTTGAACAAGATATATATAGGGATAGTGTGAGCTAATAGAAGGAATTGAAAAAAAAAACCATTTTTGACTTTCTCAAAGCGATTTTTGTGCCATAATTTCGTAAAAAAATCATGCTATCAATATAAGAATATGGAAATCCGAAATAATTAAATAATTTATTATGTTAAAGGGACATCTGAAAGGATTTTGGATACCCGAAAGAAGATAAACTTTTAAAAATCATGGTGAAAACAAATAAATGACATTTTTCTGGGCAACCAGATTGTAATTGGATGTGTTGGGTCAAGATACTTTAGGCCAAGGTTGGAGAACTCAAACCTTTATTTACACACGCACAAACACTACGCACATGCAATTACAGACATGCAATATTTAACACATTTAAAGACAAATAATTTTAGATTCATGGAAGGATTCCGCTTCTCAGCTGAAAACTCGATACTCAGGCGCAGAGTGCGCAAAATATACTTCCTCTCCGAGTGAGAGTCTGTAGATCAAGTAATGCGCCGGGGATATGTTAATGAATATATTACCTTTCGGAATGAAAAACTATAAACTAAACATTTCTCAACAGAAGCGTGTGGTTGCGCTGTCCTTCTTCTTGGTTGAGAGTTTAGAGGTCGACAAATCACTTCTCCTGAATATCATAGAGGGCGCTCTTGCCAGTGAGGAGGAGGAAGAAGCACGGTTACAATCTTCAAATTTACTAAAGATGAAAATCTTGATTACAATTCATTATAAATTTGGTAAGGCATTTTCAGTTTTTGTCTGTAACTTTTATATGGGCCTTTGTATACCCTATTACCAGCGATGCATGAACACAGGTCACATTTTGCCTAATTTTGTAAAAATCCAGTTCCTTTCCATCGTCCACAACTGCTATGTTTATCTACTTATGTGTAGAGGATTGTTTGTTTTTCTCACACATAAAGTTTTGGTCAATCTTTGTTGGCTAAAGAGCATTTTTGGTGGATATTTTACATGATTGATTTTATAAAACTTCTAAAAAACAATTACAGCAGTTTCATAAAATCTTTCCAGTATTATATATCTACAAAAGCTTTTTAAAAATTTATTTTTTAAAACTGATCAAGACATACATTCACCTCATATATTCAAAGATTTTTGTTTAACATCAATGCACGAATGCAATTTTCTCCAAACAACAGTATTTAAACATTTACATTAACATTTTGGAGTATTTATTCTAATGTTCTGCCTATTAATCGTGACTTCGTACTGTTAACAGGTGCAATTTTCAGTCTGAAAAAAAAAAAAAAAAAAAAAAAAAAAGATCTTGTATTATAATCTACTTGTGGTTGACAACTTATTTTGACATATCATATACCAATGAAGAGCTGTTATTATACCCGTGGCATAAAACTAACAAAACATTTATCAGTTTTAAAGAGCTATTTTAATGTCACATGGTAACGTCCTAGGCGACTAAAAGATCTGCTACTATCAACATGCAGCAATGCTCCAAGAGTGATCATGTTCGTGGGACTTCGTGTAGGTTGAGTGTCTTACAATGGAATGCGGGCGGCCTGTCTCAATCTAAAAAAGTGGAGATTCAACATTCCCTTGCCAGCTACGATGTTGAGACTCGCAGTGGGTCATGAATGTTTGGCGAACCATCTGCACCCCATTGGCATTTTTGATAGCCCAAATTACCCGTTCTGTGGGAAAGACAAGATCATGGATAGACACCATATAGCAGGATGTGCGGATTCCATGGTGAAAATATATTGGAGAACTAGAATTATGCTGAGGAGACATTGAATTTTTTCTCTTATTGTTTTCTTTTGTGTGTGTATGTATGTTTTACACTGTTTTGATCCCATAAGAGTTTGTCATTTTTTACACAAATTTAAGATGATAGAAAGCGTAAA